GGCACAACCTCCATTTATGCACATTATTGGCATATTGTGAGTAATCACGAGACTAGCTCATGATATATATACGAACCGGTCTCAATTATCTCAAGTCTCGGTGCTCATCTGTGACCTTGGTAAGAAGTTTTTATGCAGTCCAGCTTGCTTAGTGATTATTTTCGCATTCGCGCACTGATCCATGTCCTTCCTTGCCATCAGGCGTCGTAGAGTGAATGCGAATAGTGTGGCCTTCGACTAATGTGTCATTTCTTGTATTGCTTTTTCCGCCAGACGATGTGAATACCACAGCCTTGAGATCGGTGCTCTAACCATCACAACAGCACTTTCCAGTATTTAGCAGCTTCATTGTATCATTACTTCTTGGCATACTACCCAGTAAATAGCGCCACGTCAGCCGTCCGGAGGCTGTTTGAATCCCTCGAAAGCTCCCATTTGGTCCTAACTGGTCTGGCCAACCGAATCTTGTAGATGGGCCAGCTGTGAATGCGTTAGTGCTCCCCGAACATGAACGAAACAGCCCGTCATTCTTCAATCCTACTCGCACATACCGTCCTGATATTACTCCCCATCGTATAACTTACTTTGAATCCTGGCCCCTAATTGTCCTTCGATCATCTGACACGGCATCCGTAAACTCCCGCACCATCTCCCGGGTTAGTATGTCAAATGCAACACGTGTGGGTACAGTCTGATCATCTGCATTCGGCCAGAAGTCGGGAAAGCCATGGGTTTTGCTTTTGGACTATGCTTGAAGGTTTAAGACGCCCTAGGAGATGCGGCGAGAATGCGATGCCAAAGCCAGTTAATAAGTCTGAATTGAAAGAAACGATTTGGCTTTGTGGGATGGGAGTTCTAGGACGTGGTTGTAGTAACCGAGGATTCAAGAGAACAGGTAGCGAGGAAGACAAAAGTCAATCGAGAGATCATCATTGTTCGGTCCGCGAGCTTGTAGACTAACAACTTCAGATCGAGTAAATGACAATTTAGTGGTAAAAGCGGATGGTGTTGACGATTTGGCGAGGATCATTCGAAAAGCCGCCGAGCCTGCCCATGGTACTGCTGGGTGTAAATATGAAGCAGAACTCTAATGATACTGATGTCAGCGGCAAGGTAACTAATGGTATTGCAGGACGCTTCAGACGTCTAACTGGAACGTCCTAACAACGGGGCTCATGACCTGTCCAGATACATCCGTCCCTGCCACGTTTTCAACCGTCCCTGATTAGGGGTCCACAGTTTCTCCGCCAGACCCCAGATGGGGGTCTGTTCACCATAATGCTTTGCAGAGTCACGTCTCCAGTCCCCATTTCACGTGAAGCAAAATCGTTCAGCGAAGCCGCACGGATATCCTCGAGCTATTGTAGTTTAGCATCTGTTTCCCATCACATAGGGGTTGATTGTTCGTCAGAATGAGAGGGCAGGTACTGGTAAGCTGTAGAGATGGTAAGAACATGACATGGGAGCCGCTGATCTTTCTTGGCCGCAGTCTTGTAAGCAACACGCTATGATGATAGCACAAGTCGAAGAGCCAAACGGAGAAACGAGCCGGGGTCTTCGAGCCGCTTGTGGGTAGAATCCAATGTATTTCGGCTCGATGTGCAATAGCCCACTTCTTAGGTCTCTATTCGTTTCGATATATCAATCTCAATCTGATGTACAGCGCTAAGCTCAACCCTGTGACGGCCTTACTCATCAGTGGTCAACTTCTTCTTCAAGCTTCCAACCCTCTTCTTCAATCGGTTACTCAAGCTGCCTCGTCGGTTAAGGTCAGCGCCATCATCCACAAAGGGTGAAGCACCACTGCTATGTCTGCTGTGATTCGACTTTAATTCGATGCCCCCGACGGTTGGATCGCGCTTATGGTCAGGCTTATCCTCAAGCGAATGCTCTTTGAGGGCCTTCTCAATGCTGTAACTGGGCTCGCCCTTGCCCTTGATATCATCTGGATGGTATTGCACACCAGGCCATCTCTTGTATGCACCACCCTCGGGGTTAAGATCGACCATCATGTTTTCGCCCTCCTGGTAGTGAAAGGTCTGGCCGTTACGATCCGTCTCACCGGGCGGGTATGCGGCGACGCCATCGAGAGGACGGTGTCCTCGAACGCTATCAATAATTTTCTCGTGAGGCGTTGCTTTCAAGGCTTCATTGTTGCTGTCCGCCACAGCTGCGACTGGCGACAGTTTGGAAGAGTTGTTTCGCGCAAAAAGAGTGGCATCATACGGGCCTTCGTGGTGGTAGCCAAGCCCAAGGCCGGACTGATCCAGAGAATCGATTGTGTCGGGGCGAATGGCATGGTTCTTTGTAATATGTCTTGCACGGTCGGCAACAGCCTTTTCTCTCGCAAGCTGATCAAGTGGGTAGGGTGATGGATCTCCCGGAAATCGTTCTTTCAGCGAGCTCGACCTGCGAGGCCGGGTGGTGTTGTGGCTGGCAAATGCCTGTTGCCTATGGCTCGGTGACGCTCGTGGCGAGAGAGACGGTGGGGAAGGATGTTTTCTGTCTGGTGCTAGCTCTTTTGTCGAGGCACTTGCTGTTTCTTTCGCTGCGCCATGCTCGTGGTTGTGATTGAATGGGTTGTGGCTGCCGGAGTCTTGACGATGTTCGGACTTGGGAGGGGTTGTATGTGTTACATTGTGTTGTTTCGGCATGGCAGACGTCTCTACGGGCGGCCGGAAGCGCGCGTTTAAGCCAGTCTCGTCGGACGGATCAGGTTCGTAGAGAGCACCATTGATTGCTGCATTGGCTTGTTCCTGCATGTCGAGATCAGCATCGATCGACCGACTCGATTCGAGACACAACGTACAAAGTACTTATCGTTGGACATGTTGGCGTTGCAGAGGTATCGGTCAAGATTCCTGATGAAGAAAAGGGCAGAGCTCGGAGACGGCGACAGCTTAAAGGGTACTTGACCAGCGACGGCTGTATATTAACGTTCGTGTTCGTATCTCAGGCAGGCTGAGCTCAACCCAGGAACCCGCAAGACGCCGATGGCTGCTAGAATTTCAACCAATCCATTGACATCATCGCAGACAAGCATTTCCAGGTGAACACGGCCAACCTTGAGCTCCGATCTCCACCACCAACGTCTTCGCCCGCGTAACAGAGTTCCACCAAGTGGTAGCGATGGACTTATCATTCGCGCAGAAGTGAGACATCTTCATCGTACCAGGTCCGGACATGCTTTACTTGACTGATATCATGGTGAAATGCTGGCAACACGAAGATAGTTGGCTACATCATCGCTAAAGTGCAGCGAAAAGGCTGCATGAAAGCGACGTTGATTAATGGCTTTCTGCACCAAATCTTGGCAGGGCACAACCGCTCCTTTTGGCGGTGGTGATGCATGTGACGCAAGCAAACTTGGGAGTTTTTACCTCGTGGCTGAAACCAGATCGTCACGAAACCATGAGCTTGGTGGATTATCCTGATTCGGACGATGAAAACCAAGAACCTATCGAAGCTGTGACCTTCGCAGATGCTTCCTCATTGAAGAGAAAGACCGACGAGGATGGTGTTTCTGCCCGACGCGTGAGGCCCAAGCTTCCACCTGCCCTCCCATCAAGCTTTCACACCCTATATTCTGCCGATGTGAGAACGAGCACAAACGACGATCCAATACTCCATGGAGGTCGTCAGCGACAGGTGCCTCATGTCGTAGGCAACTGGCCAAGTTTCATGTATCTTGAGTGGTCGCCATCAGAGCCGATTCTGACACGTCTGGTAAAGGTGACTGAACAAGCAGAAAGCCGGTTACGTGACGCGTCAGTTGCGTCGACAGGGGGCAATCGACTGCATAGCCTTTTACTCTCTGACCTCGGTGTGCGACAGCCATTGCATGTCAGCTTGTCTTCCCCGCTGATCTTAACCACTGACAACAAAGACAAGTTTGAACTAGAAATAAAGAAAGCGGTGCGCGATGCAGGGTTGTCAACCTTCAAGGCTGTGTCTTCAGGTTTGCGATGGGTGAGCAATTTTGATCAAAGTCGCTACTTTCTCATCTTGATTCTCGCGCAGCCTCAGAATGATGAACTCAACATCTTGCTTAAGAGGTGTAACGAGGTCTGTCGCACATTTGACCTGCCAGAACTCTATATCCAAGACCGATTGGTCGGAGTCTCGAAGCACACCGACCCTGGCATTATGAGTTCAAAGCCACTCTTGAAGTCTGAAGTTGCGCATGACAAGTTCCACATTAGCATTGCATGGACACTTGCACCCCCCAATGACGGGTTTGAAGATAATTTGGTCAAGTTCGACAGTGTTGACATAGAAGTTAGTTTCAACAGCCTCTATATCAAAATTGGTAATACAGTCTCAAGGGTATCTTTTGAGGCCACCGACGACCATAGGTGAGATTTGACAGGGCAATCAGCACAGCGGCATTGATTTGTGAGCAAGCTTTCATTTGTGAAGGTTAATCAATTCCAAATTGCATTTCTGGCAGTCCTTAATACCCGACGTGTTGCGTGGAAAATGCCGAAGCCCATCTGTGAATCACAACTTGACATCGAACAAATGGTTAATGGCCGAGCTTTGACGGAGAAACAACTGCTGAAACCTGGCACAAAGAATGCCACAAGCCAGCAGAAACAGGTCGAATTGTTAGGTGGAAAAGGACGCACAACCCTGCCAGCAACCGAGAGTCGTCATACTGGAAGTTCCATTCGGTCAGGCGTACAAAACTCAAAGCAGAAATTCTCGAGCAAAGACTTGCAAACTGGTTACCGTCTAACAAGCAATTTTCTACTCACAATCAGGTTGTATGCTAAATATTGCACCACTAAATAGCAATCGTGGGGTTGTGGGAGGTACACGTTCGTCTAGCTTTATGAGCATTGGTCTGCAAAGAAGCCTACGATTTTGACAGGAGACTCGAATCAGTTAACGAGCGCAGCAAAAAGAAATATCCGCAGTATTGGGAAGAACAATTCAGCTGACTGGCCGGGAAGAGATGTGTCAGCAGGCACACAATCACCAAAAGCCAAAAAAGAGAGCTCTTGGACGAGGATTCGAACACTCGATCAACGGCGTGTGTATTACGACCAGCCGATATGCTAACCATTGCACTACCCAAGATGCATACAGCGGATGATAGGGCTTGTCTGGTTGTTGAAAACAACTTGCACGTTTTCCAATATCAAGTTGGATTCAATTCCACGGCGGGAGTGCTGACGGGAGCATGAGGTGTGGTCCAGCCTGCCAGATTGCGGAAGCGAGCAGAAAGGACTTAAGAAAGCCATTGCCGTTTCTGGTAAGCAAATTACTTCCGAAGCAGGATAGCGTGGCTTATTCACCAACGAGCAGTTCGGGGAGATGCTAGAGAATCCATAGAATGTGACCAGAAACCGCTCTGTACACCACGTGTGTTTCGGTAGACAAAAGGTGACATCAGCCAGCAACCACAAAGGTTGTATTTGGTGAGGTAAGCGGCATGACATAAGCCGAAGCATTTGCTTTTTCGGTAACAACCATCGGTCAAAACTACGCCAGACACGATCAGGGACTACGCCAGACACGAGCTACGAAGCGCTGAACAGCCAGGACAACGGAAGGAGTGTCAGAAGGTGCGCCTGGGCTTGGCAGAAGGAAACCTTGGAACACCGTGAATCAACCGGCTCAAGAAGGGAGATGGTACCTGAGGTAATTCCTGCCAGTACGGGCACTAGGAACCAGCGATGGCAAGCTTTTGTACCATTCATAGCTAGTAGCCAGCATATGATAATACTGTAAGGATTAGCTGGAAAGAGGCGCCTCCCAGTTACTACAAGAAACTTGCTTTCAAGACTTCATGCATTGAACATCTATCACTTGTGTTCTTCCAGGTCGTATTTCTTGGCTGCTTCCTGGTCATGACTTTGGGGGAATCACCCTGAACAACGTGTCGGTGACTGGCTTCCTCGGTTACCTCTACTCATCCTGGAAGAACTTCATGATAGCCTTGATGCCCCTACCACCAAGACCATGCGGTGGATACGCAATATAGATCGGATCCGCACTCGCACCCATCTTCTCTCTGAATTCGCTCTTCCTCACCAAGTTGAACTGCTTGATGATCGCATCATACGTGCCTTGCAACATCTTCACCCGCGTCCCACTCAAATGATGACCTGGCGTCAAATGTGCAGCTGCACCGCCACCGAACGTCACGTTCTTGATCCCGGCCGCGGCAGCAGCATTCAGTGCATGCGTAGTGATGTACTCGATTGTACCAGATGGCGCACCAGGGAAATCCAAGGTGTACTTCGCCTGCCAGCCGTGTCGTGGCGCAAGTTCTGCAAGCACAGCAATACCGCAGATTGTGCCTTCCTTGTCCTCGGCGACAAAGTACCGTCTGTGTCTCTCGTCACGGAACAGATCGATATTGCTCAAATGGATCTGGGTGCCCTTACGATGTGCCAACCAGTCCTTAACTCGTGCGTTTGCGCGCGTCTTAACATCTTCTGGCACGGGCTTCTTGTGGTCCAAGTCTGTGATCTTCACGCCTTCGTTCTGTGCGCGCCGAATCTTTCGAGCGACTTCTGCGTCTTGCTCGGCTGTCTTTTTGGTGGTGTCGACTCGTTCTTCAGCAACGCAGGAGAGAGTCTTCCAGCCTAGACGGTCACCCAGAACTTCTTCCATCTCTTTGCCGACAAGGATCCAGATGGGTTTTAGTTTGGTTTCTTTCTTCAGCCAGCTGAGGAAACGAGAACAGACAGTAAAGTACTGACTTGGGTGGCACAATGGGTCTCCAGGCAAGATTGCACGGGTGGCCTCTGGCACGTAGGAGATTGCAGCGCCGGTGGAAGTATCGCGCCAAATCTTGTAGCGCTCGTCTCCCCAGGAAGTGGCAGTTGCATCTCCGTAATTGGCGACCAAGTCGAAGACATCAGGCATGACGCGTTGCTCCACAGGGACTGGCCTGCCACGCTCGCGGAGCCAGACGGGGTGTAGAGTATCTGCGTCCGGATGGGGAAGTTTCTCAACAACCGGTTTTGGTGGGAAGGAGCGTGGGTCACGGTGGAACATGGAAGCTAGTCTGATGTTGCCGAGCTTGAGGAGGAGCATCACGATTCGTTCCAGACCAACACCAATACCTGCATGAGGCGGCGCACCCCATTTGAAGCCTTCCATGTATTCGGCCATGTCGTCTGGGTCAATACCCACGGAGCGCATGTTTTCTTCAAGAAGTGCTGGGTCGTGGATACGCTGGGAGCCCGAGATAATTTCTTGGCCACGTACAAAGATGTCGAAGGAGTTTGTGTAACGTGGGTCGTTGGGGTCTGGCATGGAGTAGAAAGGACGGGCGGATCGAGGGAATTTGTCGAGAATGTAGTAATCTGCGCCGTACTTCTCTTTGATCAATTCTCCCAGTCTGATTTCGTCTCGGGTGCCGAGATCTTCCAGCGGAGACAGCTGCTCACCGTCTTCGTTAAGCCAGCCGGAATCGTTGATTAACTGAATGGCGTCCTTAAACGGAATGCGAGGGGTTTTCTCGAGCCAGACAAGGTCTTCTGAGGGGAACTGTTCTTTGATGATCTCAACTTCACGGCGGTATTTGGTGTAGATGCCGGTGAATATGGTCTTGAGGACTTCATCGATCACGTCGAGAGCTTCCCAATAGTGTTCCTCAAGAGCCATTTCAAAGTCGAGACCAGTGTATTCGGTCAAATGGCGATGGGTGTTGGAGTTCTCAGCTCGGAAAACTGCACCAATTTCGTAGACTCGTTCAAAATCCGAGGCAATGGCCATCTGCTTCGCAAGCTGCGGAGATTGCGCCAGGAAAGAGTCTCGACCAAAATAGTTGACTTTGAAGACCGAAGCGCCCGATTCAGTTGCAGCGCCCTACGAGGGTTAGCAAAGCAAAGTTAGTCCAATCTTGATTACACACCTGTAGTTTGGGAGTATGGATTTCGACAAAGCCTCGCTCGTCGAGGGCTGATCTGAATAGGTTGCCCACGGCGGCTTGAATCCGGAAGATTGATTGCGAGGTTGCGGTGCGAAGATCGATGATCCGGTTGGCCAAACGCGTCCGGTCTGAGATCTGACTTTGTCGCGCGCCTTCATACCTGTGCGCATCATCGTGAATGCTCAGCTCGGCTTCCTGGACGGAGAAGGGGACTGGAAATATTTAACTTCAGTTCGAATGGCTCACGCTTTCACTCACCTGGTTCTGCTCGCTTTGCAATGATATGAAGATGGGTAATCTTGATTTCCAAGTTGTGGATTGAGGCAGATTTGACTGGCACAGTAGGTTTCTGTACGACACCCCTAATACGCATAATGCTACCTGTGCGCACGTGCTCTGACCAGTGAATCATGAGGGGCCCAACTCTGCCCGGCTCCTCGACCAGGACGCCCTGAATGGTGGAGATGCGCTGACGAAACATCATGAAAACCAACTTCTGGCCCATGTTACGATGATGGTGGACACGAGCACGAAACAAGACCTCTTGGCCGATCATTTCCTCCGTCAACGTATCGACGTCGATCCGCTTCTCCGTGCCTCGTGTGATGGACTGGGACATTGGCAGTTCGCCGTATCTGGCCCGCATGTCGTCGGTCTCCTGTGCCAGAGCTTCCTCTAGACGCTGTCTCAATCTTTCGGCCGATTCTTCTCTCCCACTGTCCATGCTCATCCTCGCTCTCTTCTCTTTCTTCGCTGCTTTCTTCGCTGCTCGTGCCGCCGCATTCTTGCTTACTCCATCCTCGCCAAGATCGCTATCGCTGTCCGTACTATCGGTGCCGGAGGAGTAATCTTTCCGGTCGAAATGGTGGAGGATGGAAGCTATAGATCGGCGATTGGTAGTAGTTGGGGTGGAGGTGCCGTTGCTGCTTGTAGGTGAGATTGCTGTTCGATCGTGGCTCTCTGATCTCTTGCGATCATCGTGCCCGAAGGCAACCGAGATTTTGCGGAGTGCAGACATGATTGAATGCCGCGCCGGGCGTCCGATGTGACTGAGAACTCTGCCAGAAAACAGGTGGATAGGTGGGTAGCTTTATCAATCCGCAACGTCGGCTGACTCGTGTGCACTCGGTTACGCGAATGGGCCGAAGTCCGACTCACCAGCTCCTGGCGTCCGCCTAGCAAGCCGGCTTCTAGGACGTGCTCGAAAAAGACTCGACGGCCAGGTACAGAGCAGAGCGAGGGATCAATTCCTGCAAAGCACCAAAGGGAAGCGAAAGAGAAATGAGAAAGGTTGGGATGTTCACACGTCTCAGCACTTTGGAGAAGGGATTCTCGCCTTTTTGCAAGCGAATACCACTACAAATGCTGAGTAGAATCCAATCGAGGTACGAAACGAGAGCATCACACGGTTGTGCGTGGAGCGAGGTATGTAAGCTGCTTTGTTGCTCTTTGCGCAACTACCCGCACCCGGTGAGTGTCTCATAACAAACCGGTCCGTATGGAGGGGCTCGAGGGGTCAATGGCGCTTTGGCATGTGCCCTAGCTTGTCCTTAGCGCGCTTTCAAAGCTGCTTCTTTCGGACATTACTTCATCCTGCTTATTCATCAAAGCCAGCCAACAACCTTTGTCCATTTTCGTGGCCAGACAATCCCCAGATAGCCATGTTAGTCATATCAGTGTTGATTCGGTCAGCATTTTTTGGCAGTGAAACGTCGCAGAGCATGCCGCGTGTCTTCATTCGCTTCCCCGGTAGCGAGGATTTTAAACCTGTGGTACGAATTCCAGAGAGAACGGAGAGGTCCAGTGATCAAGCCCCACAACTGGTTCGTGTAGTCTTGCGAGCGGAAATTCTCATATCTGTTCAGTCTTTGACAATATCAAAAGCTGCTTTCAAGCTTCTGGTAGTCTCCCTCCGATGCAGCTCCCTATTTACTAAGCCTGCACGCATTTCAAGCGACAGGCGGGACTTGCGCAGGGAATCCGGAGTAACGATACTCGCTGCTGCGTACAGATGATTTATGCATCTGTTCACGATCGCTGGAATACCTATCACGTCGGTCGCCAGCTACGACGAAGTAATTGATGGAGCTACTGTCGGGAGAGATGTCGAGCAGATCTGCCTTAGAAGTGATACCTGAACTTGACAGATAGGCTCGCTAAAAAGACAGCTTGCCTGCCTAGACGCCAATCA